TCCCGCAGCCTTCCCCCCCGTCTCTCCCCCCCCCTCTGGCCTCGCCAACCATGACCGAGCAGGTCGACGCCCTCAGCCCAGCGGGTGTCTCTGAGCTCGCCACCTTCATCATCCGCCCTCCACGCGCCCACTACTCCACCTCCGACCTCGGCGACCGCGTCCTGCTCGTAGACAGGGTCCCCGCCTGTCGCACAGACCTCCACCTCCGCAATGCTCGCGATCAGACCCTGCAGGCAAGCCACTTCAAGCCCGTCGCCGCGCCCCCCGACGCCCCCGTCGTCGTCTATCTTCACGGAAATGGCTCGTGCAGAGTCGAGGCCACCACCCTCCTGCACTACGTCATCCCGTACGGCCTCTCCCTCTTCGCCTTTGACTTTTCCGGCAGCGGACGCAGCGAGGGCGAGTACATCTCACTTGGCGTCAATGAGAAGCACGACGTCGAAACAGTCGTCGATCATCTCGTCAACGAATGCGCCGTCTCCCGCATCGTCCTCTGGGGCCATTCCATGGGCGCGGCCACCGCCGTCATGTACGCCGGCTTGTGTAAGCGCTCGCCGCAGATCCGCGCCCTCGTCCTTGATTCCCCCTTTGCCAGCTTTGATAAGCTCGCCCAGTCGATGGTCGCCGATATGCCCATTCCTTCTGCCGTCCCGCGCAAGCTCATCCTCTCCGTCGGCGTTCGCGCCGTCCGCAAGGCTGTGCGCGAGCGCGCTGCCTTCGACGTCAATGACATTGACCCCCTCTCAGCTGCCAAAAAGATTAACTATCCGCTCCCAGCCTTGTTCTTGCATGGCACTGCCGATGCCGTTGTCCCGCTCACCCATGGACAACAACTCCACAAGACCTTTCCCGCTTCCGAAAAGCACCTTATCGTCATGCAGAGTTTGGAGCACGACACCCCGCGCCCAGAGTGGGTGATGGATCGCATCCATGTGTTTTTGCAAAAGCATCTCCGGGAGGAGGGGACCGACGATATTTTGTACCTCGATTATCTTAAGGGGCGGGGTAATGCTGCCATGCTGTCTGGTCGCTTTGAGGATTCAGTCCATGTGTATTCGCAGGCCCTCAATGCACTTGCCTCCCACTCCATTGGTTTGGCACACATGCGGCATCTCGATGGGCGCCACACCCGTTCCAAGTTCCACCCACATGACGTCGATGAGGACTTCCAGTACCATGTTGTGCGTCGACATTCCTCCATTTCTAACTTTGTGAACAGCGTCAAGCGATGGCGGAGTTCCTGCGTACCACTTTCAGGGGATGAAAACAATTTTCGAGCACCGCGTCATCACCCAAAAGTTTCGGAGCAACATCGTCACAGGCAGGCGGCGGCCGAGAATGCGAGGCATACTAGCGGACCTGTTCCGAATGATTTGATGGATTTCAACGAAACTCCAGCTTCTTCACGAGATTCAAATGCAGCTAATGAATTACATTCATTGCACTCGTCACCGCTCGTGGATGACAAGCGAAGTGACGGGGCGGGGAGTAGCGGCCGATTTTCTAAAACGGGTCTTACTCGCTCATGGCACGCCAACAGTTTTATTGCAAGTCTGAAAAAGAAAATGAACTTCAGCTGGCACGGCAGTGCCTCCTCGACGCAGTCTCCAACCTCGCAGGGTGTCACTTCCCGTCCAGACGGGACAGAAAAAGATTCAGCGGACAGGCGCGAGCCGGATGGGCGTAGAAACTCCAAGTCGTTGTCTCAAGATGGAGAATCGCAACATCGACCGTCGAGTAAAAGCGAGGAACGGCAAGCCCGCAAAGGCAGTCGCAGTCGTTCGAGCTCCACAGGGAGGTTGTCTCGTTCTTCCAGCCGTGTGCGTATTGGACATCGTTCAAAACGGCGCGAGAGCGTACTACGTGCTAATGCCCCTTCTGGCCAAGACCATGGCTCAGGCCACAGGATGTGGTACAGCCCTGATGAAATGAAGCGACGAATGAAGACTCCAGATCTGTCGTCGTTGAAGAGTCGATTCTCCAACGGGGATACGGTCACACGTGGCGCAGAAGTGGACTCTCTTGGACGGGTCCCTTCGGACGAGCGGACGACAGCCAGCTTTGATACGAAGTCATGGAAGTTGGACGACGAGCGGAAAGCGCTAGCGCTGGCACTGCTCGGAAATCGCAGTCTTGCACGAAGAAGGGCGAAGGATGTGAACGGAGCGCTAGCCGACGCCATGACGAGCATTGATTTGGATCCGTCGTGGGTGCGTGGATACGTGCGCAAAGCGGCTGCACTACGAGAGATTGGGGACTTGCGCCAAGCGAGGGTGTGCGTGGTCGAAGGTCTGCGACAGGATCCGGAACACGCAGGTCTGACGGATATGCTGCAGTCAGTTGATATCGCCCTCGAGGCTGAGAAGTTGGCGCATGAGCGCAAGCAGGTACAACGAACGGAAGAAAGCGAAGCGGATGTCAACGCGCTTTCCGGACAGGCGTAAAGACGAGGTGGAGAGTTGTTCTTATGCCGAACGGGTAGCCAGCTGCACTAGCCAGCTACCAACGGCTGCGGGTTGCACACGCCGCAACTGTGTTTTTATCACTTGCTCAGCCTCTATTTTTGTAAATAAACAGTTTGTGTGTCGGTGAGGACGCGCACAGTACCTATCGGATACCGGGCAGACGACCGGGCACCAACGGCAAGATCATGTAGTTCGATTCATTTAATTACCACAGACTGCTCTTCGACCGAGTCAAACCCTCGCTCCTAACCGCCTTACCCCTCCAGCCGCCCTCCTCCCACCTCAAGCCCCTTCTGCCCATCCTAAGCAGACCAATAGCAACCCTCCCCTCCATTGTGCGCACAGCCGTGGTATCCGATTCCATCCCTTGTGCATGCGCACCCATCGCTGACCCAGCACCCCACTTCTCCCTCCACACCGGGGAAGGTGGTGGTGTGGCCGGGAGCGCGCAGGCAACGTCGGGCGGATGCGGCACGACATCCTCGGTGGGTGAGAGTCGTGTGTAGCGGGCGCGACGCGAGAAACGCGCGTACGTGGAGAAGAGAGAGTCCATTGCGTGACTACTGTCGCAGAGGGGGCGGGCGGGGGGGAGGAAGGAGGTCGTGTATCATGGCGGGTTGTGGGTGGGGGAAGGTTGGAGGGGAATGTGCATTCTTTGCGGAGCGGTGAGGTTTGAGAGGATGTAGTCGAGGTTGAGGTCGGGGAATGCAAGCAGAGGGAGCGCCGAATCGGAAAAATTGAGGTGGGGCGCGTCAAGTGGTGAAAGAAGGGCGTTTTGTCAACGGGCGACGATCTGGCGCACAGCGAGATTCACGCACTTGTGATTGGCGTGGCGTGTGATGACGGCAATGAGTCGGTGTCAGCCAAACCATCGCGAGAATACTGTAGCCTGACTTGAATTTCGAACTGCGGCAAACTCACGTTTGCTTCCAGGCAAACCTCCGAGGTGCGCGTTCATGATAACTTTCCTCCGCGGGCGACAAGGCAGTCCGGTTTATGTGCTCTATGCTGACACCGGTAGGGGGGTTCGAATCCCGCCCCGTGCGTCGCTAAACAGATCAACGAAAACTACAAACGAACGCCCTGAAAAGCCGCGTTCTAAATCCCCGCGCGCATCAGCCATCTAAAGCTCCACCGACTGCCCGAGCGGCAGAGCGGCGCGCACCATTTTGTACGCGGCGCGCACGGGAGCGAGCAGCGCATGCGCGGCGCCCGGCTGCACGGCGTCCGTGTAAGTCGTAGCGATGAGGCCGTTGACCACAATGTCGCCGTGAGTCGTCTGCGGGTTGTACAAGCCCTTGGCCTTGACTGTACGCACGGCAGTGACGGTGGCGTCGGCGCCCTCAGCGGTGCGCATGACCATGCCCTTGCGCACGTCACGCATCTGCAGGGTGGCGCCGTCGGCGTGGACGTAGTGCCCCGCGGTGGTGACTAGGCGATTGCCGAGGTCCGTCTCGACGGCGATGTAGGAAAGGGCCGACTTGGATGTGTGATGCGTCCAGGCGAAGACGTCGGAGTAGGTGCCATCGGCCACGAGGACACGGTCGCCAATGCGGACGGTGTCCATGGTCTTGACTTGGCCGGACTGGAGGGTGACGGTGGCGTCAGCCGGGAAGCATTCGACGCGGTCGCCTATGTTAGTCTCAGCGTAGAAGCATTTGTTGCCGAGGAAGATGTATTTGCGATCCTCTTCAAAGTCCCACTTGTCATTGTCAGTGTTGGTCGCGATGCCTGAATCTTCAGAGACAATGTCGGTGAATGGGACGTCGTCAAGCTCATCGTCTGGCCTGACCAGGACGACGACAGTTTCCGCGGCGAGTGAATTAGTGTCGCATCGGATTTCCGACGCAACGGGGCCTGCGAGAAAACTGCCAACTGTGCCACTATTTTTTTCGAAGAAGGCGGTGACTTGGTTGGTGATCTCGCCGTCGTCGGCGAGGTTGATGTTGCCGCCCTCGCACTTGGCGTCCTGGAGAGAGATGTTATCGGGGGTAATTACTAGATCGTTACCTTCAAAACGAAGCTTGTCGACACATTCTTTTTCGGAGCCAGCACGAAGGCTGTAGTCATCTTGGATGTCTTCCTTAGTGAAATCGGCACGGACCACGGCGAAGAGAGCACAGGTCAAAAAGAGGGTACGCAGATTCATAGTGTGAGGTGGCGTGAAGGGATCCGAGAAGTCTGGGCAGAGGGAGGGAGGGGGTGGCGGGGGGGGGGTCAAAAGGTAGATAACACTATACGGGGAGAATCAGAGCCGCCTTTGATAAGGGGGTTTGCAAAGGGAGGAAATGAGGGCGTTTCGGTTGGGCGGGAACGGTATGGCAGGCAAAAGCGCAGGGCGGGGAAACGGGAGGGGGGCCGGTGATGTGGGAGAAGTGCGGAAGAAAAAAAGAAAATTTTAGGTGCAAAAATTTCGCCACAGTCTGTTGCCCTTGTCCGTATCGAACGAGCGCCTCTTCGTCCTACTAGACCCTTGTAGAAACGTCGCTACAAGCACGCGACGCAGTCCACGTGAAAGGGGCCGGCACTTTCCACGGATATTCGATGCGATGCACGCGTAATTTACAAGTACCGGGTACCTACGTACCTGTCCGTACGCATTCGCACCCTGCCACCACTTAAAGGAGGCCCTCAATGCACGCCAATTCGCAGCCAACCGTGCCCGCGGAGCAGATGTAAGCACTTGCCTCTTGTCTTGTTCTTTTCGAAATTTAAATTTCACAAACACAAACAGACGTGGCATTCCATTGGCGGATGGAACGGTGAGAACGGTGGAAATGGTGGACCCGATCACTTCCGTACACGACGACGCCGCACAAAATAGCCTCATCCCACATCTCCTTGATCCTTCAGCCTTCGGGCCCAAAATAGCCTCATCCCACATCTCCTTGATCCTTCAGCCTTCGGGCCCACCGGCCGCCTGATGTTGACATCACCTGGATATCTTGGCGGTCATGTGTTGATGTCAACATGTGTCAACGTGTCAACACATGACCCCCAAGATATCCTGTCTAGGGCAACAGATGTTCCATTGCTGGCGTACAGTATCTTGTTCTTCTTGGGTTGCAAAAATTAGGCGAAATTTGTGCCTTAAATGGTGAAAGTTTAGACTCTCACCATTTTGACCCTTGAATTGTTAAGACAATTGAATACTGCACTACTGTAGCTCTAGTGTCTATCCGACCACGCGTTATCATAACATCAAAATTTGCGGATTTTATTTCTTTCGGCCACGGTTTCCATTTTTCTTTAATTTTATGAAGGAAACCCCGCATAAGGAAGTCTCTATGCTACTGGTATAAAATTGGCTTAGAGAAAAATGCTATGTGCATCAATGAATTCGTTTTCGCTAGAATTGACGAGCACATGCTTTACCTGTGGTGATCAACTTCTAGTTGCAAAAAAACAAAACTTAAATCGCTTTGCGTTATCTAAAAAAAATAAAGCAGACACTAGCTAGAAATGCATAAAAGGATAGAGCTTTGATATTGAAATAACTCGTAGAACGTTAACGATGATCCCTAAGTCGTTCTGTTACATCAACGTCGTACTCGCCTGTGCGAGGGCCTCGAACATTTTTTCACAAACAAGCCCTGCTCAATTGAGCAATCTCAACCAGGCATCGTGGAGTACAGTATTGTTCTATACCGTAGTACGGACACCTACGCTATGAAACCAATGGCTATAACTTTCATGCCATAATGCCGCTACTGTACTGTAGTACTGCACAATACTGTACATTCACCGCACGGTACGCCATCCTACAGCATCTACAACTCATCCTTCACCGCCTCACCAACACTGCATCTTCCTTCCGCCTTGCACTTACCCACAGCCCCGATTTTCGTCCCGTCAAAAACTTTGCGCCCGTCATTCCACCCCTCCGTATCGTACTTGTCCTTCCAATCCGGCATCCAGTAATACCTCAGCGCAACATGCCGATACCTGGACGGATACGACATCGCCCCGAGCGGCTCAGCGAGCTTGACTCGTCTCTCGTCCTCCGGCGGACACTCAGAGTCCCGTCCCTTCGTCACGCAAACTCCCGAGTAAGCACTGAGCAGGTACCTCCCCCTCAGAAACGCCTCCACATCCTCCTGCTCCTCCGCCATGCTCAACACATCGAACTGATGCGCGAGCGCGATCGCGCCCTCCGTCGTCGCCTCGTACAGCTTCCCGGCCATGTGCACCAGAAAGTCCCCCGCGCGAAACTCCTCCACGTACACGTTGATCGCGCTCTTCGGCACGTACTTGACGTGCTCCTTGCTCCCCTTCTCCGCGTCGAAAAAGTGCTGCAGCGCGCTCTGATCCAGCGCCCTCGCCTTGTCGAACTCCTTCGCCGCGTACACGCGCTCCAGAAACCCGCGCGTCCATTCGCTACACTTGAGCAGCATGACGCCGGCGTTGATCATGAGCCAGTCCACGGACACGAGAATGTCGTACCGGTCGTCGATCACGCTCTCCAAGCTCACACTCTGGTTGACCACGAGCGCGTCCGCGTCGGACCACAGCATCCAGTAGCCGTCCCTGCCGACGCACGCGGCCATCGCGAGCTTGATCTTGCCGAACGTCGCCGCGCGCTTGTCGATGGCGAACCCGTCGTTCGCCGCGCGGAAGCACATGCCATCCCGCTCCACCGCCTGCGCTTCGCCGTCGCTGGACCCGTTGCACGGCGGCGACAGCGACGCCACCCGCTCCCACAGACCAGTCGTCCCCGCCGGCGTGTGCGACACCATCTCGTACCCCTGCCGCGCCGCGTACCGCATCTTGTTGGCCTGCGTGATCGACCCCAGCCGCGTGAAGAACGGGGCGCCGTCGTGCATGTGCAGAAGGGCGATTCGCCGCGCAGAGTGCGCCGCGGGGGCCGCCGCGGGGGCCGCCGTGGTCGCCGCTTGGCTCAGGTGAAGCGCAAAGAGGAGGCACGCGGCGGCTGAAATGTGCGGCTTCCATAACGCGGTCGCCCGCATTGTTGTGTGGTTGGGTGGTGTCGCCGCCCCGGAGGCGCGCAACCGATGGTACACGGGTGTCGCTGGTGTGGGCCGATCAGGGTGATAGCGGCGGAAGCGGCGATGGTGGGGCCGGCAAAGATGAAGTAGAGATTTGTTGATGGCAATAATGAGGTGTCAGAAGCAGAGAGTCGCGGGCCCTCGCCCGAGTTCATGACGATTAGGCGAGCGCTGGCTCCGGTCGCGCTCTGCTGGCTACCGATCCGCCGGGACGTGAGAAGGAGTCGCCGCTGCTGAGTGCTCGGCTAGAACGCCTTCTACAGGTGTACAGCACAATGCCCTGCATACAGTGCTGCAAAAAGGGGCATGTTAAGACACACCCTCACACACCCTCACACACCCTGAGGGTGTGTCTTAACATGCCCCGTTTTGCTGCGGTTTGCTTTGCCTTGCCCAAAGAAGTGACTTGGCGTGCTATGAGTGGCTCCTACGTTTTAATTTATGTGTTTAAGAAAAGCAACGGCTTAAGAAGCATACGGTATTTGTTAAGAATTTAAAAGTATTCCTGGCAAAACCGGGCAAGGCAAAGCAAAAACCAGCCTGTTAAGACACGCCCTGAGGGCGTGTATCAAGGAGGCCCTGTCATTCCGTGCTGTCGTGCTGTGCTGCAGTATACTAAATACTGTGACAACTTTTAAAACCGTCAAAATAAAAGCATTCTACACTCATCCCCGCAGAACAAAAGCACCACTGAACACGTGACTGGGACACCTACCCCACGTGGTCAACGTGTTCAGTCTGCTAGCCCTGCTCCATCTTCTTGAACGGAGATTCGGCTCACGACGAAGACGCTCATGGATTCAAGCATTTCGGTGAGCATCTTCTTCGTGAGCTGAATCCCCGTTCATCTCGGCACCGTCTCTTTCCTAACCCCATGGCTTTCGTCCCGAGCGCCCCCATCCGCGTTCGTGGCTGGTGCGCGAAGACCACCATCGTCGCCCCTCAAACAACTTTTCTCTGTCCCGCTCAACGGCACGCTCCCTCCCCACCTGCCATCGTCACAGCCACGGCCCACCCGTTGCGCGCCTCAGCAGTAGCGTCAGTCGTTCCAGTGCTCGCCTCCCGCCGTCAACTCCTCTCCCAGCTTGGGCCGCCCAGGTATGTTCCTGTACTTCATTTCAAACCCGTACCCACAACGCCCTCTAGCCACCTTCTCATCATCGCCTTGTCGTTTCTTTCCTCCCTACTCCAGTGCCCTGCTTGACCGCACCTTCTTCTCCCTCCTCTTCCTCCTCCTCCTGCACCTCTTCCCCATTTTTCCGACCCCCTTCATGTCCCTCCTCCGCTTCCTCTTCCTGGCCGGCCCTCTGGCCCTCCCGTGGGTCCGAGCCACGCGTGCCAACGCTTCCCTGCGCCGCAAAGGCCCCTTTCTGCTTCTCTCCGGCCCGCTCCGCGCCGCCAAAGTCGGCCCGCGCCACATGCGAGTCGAGCTGCGCTCCAGGGAAACCGGCCTCGTCGCCGTCCAGCAAGTCCGCCTGCGCGAGCCGCTGTTGCGTCGTGTCACTCACGCCCACGCGCTGTGCATCCGCAAGGGCGATACCGTCTCCGCGCTAGAGATCGTTGCTGAGGGTAAATTGCTCGTCGGACTGGACTCTGTTAGGGAGAAGGTGTTGCAGAGGTTGTGTGCAGCTGCGGCTGCGCAAGAGTGAAAACAAGTGTTTTGTTTATGTGCATAATCAGTACAGGGTGACTTGTTTTGGTCCAGTTCAGGTGACCTAATGCCTCCTTGTGAAACTTGAAAAAGGTGTAATATCACACAAGCACGCTACGACTAGACGGCTATCGTTGGAGTGACGTCCTTGTCCCCGACAAGGACGACTAGGAGATTGCTCAGGAGGCCTGCTTTCTGTTCCGCAGTCATGGATCCACCGACATCTTCGACGGCGTCCTTAGCGATCTCCTTAGCCCCACTGACAATAGCCCTCCTTGCGCTTATGAGTGCCTCGGCCTGCTGCCTTTTCAGCATGGTTGAGGCAATCTCTGGCGCGTAGCTGAGTTCATTGAGTGAGAAGGATTCGATACGAATTCCGGCGACGGTGCACCGTGCCTGCAGTGTGTCTCGCATTCTGGCCGTCACTTCACTGGTCTCGGTGCGTAGCGAAGGCACGTTGGGGTCGTCACTTTCGTACGGATACATACTGACGATGCGCTTGAGAATGGCCGGGGCTTGATCTCGTATGTATTGATGCGGATTAGCTACGTCGATAGCTGCGGCACGTGCGTCGACAATCCAGAAAGTGATGATGCCTGAGACGACAATTGGGGATCCTCGGGAGTCCAGAACCTTTGTATTTGGCATATCGAAGGTGGAGAGGTCTGTTTTTACTTGGCGCAGCTCTATGGCGAATGCAGAGCGGCAGTAGCAGCCGGGCTTTGTGATTGTTCCGTGGTACGAGCCAAAGTAGAGCTCGACATAATTGGTGCGTTCTGGTACGATGAAGCAGGTGTTGCAGAGAATGCACGCGTCGAATGGGTTGCTACCGCAAAAGACGTTGTCTTCTTGGGTGTTCGGCGGGGCAACGGTCCTGTCGGATGCGGATGGGGAGGAATGTGAGTACACGGGCTTGGCGACACCCGCTGTTTGTTTGCCACCCATGTTGACGGCTGGAGGTGGAGGAGACATGTCTTGGCTGCGGGTTTTCGAGGCTGCGCGAAGAGACGAAGCGTTGCAACAGCTGAATAGCGGGGGACGGAAGCAGAGACAGTGTCAACGCGGGCACGATGTCTGATTTTGCGGTAGAGCTAGTTTTTGGGAGGCTGCTGCACGCCTGGGCGAGGACTTTGTTG